CAAGGATTGTGGGGGCACAGGATGAAAAAAGTCTCCTCCACGGATCTGTTGGAGTTACACGGTGAAGACGAGATGCACCAACACCTGAGTGCCAGACAGTCTCACTTCAGTCTCTGGGAAATTATGGACCATGTCCTCTTGGGACACATTTCTGGGCATGTGAGGGAGAAGAAAGTGACTGGGAACAGTCAGCATGGATTTGCCAAGGGCAAATCATGTCCGACCCACTTGATAGCTTTTTGCGATACATTTGGGGGTTGAGACTCTTAACAAGATACTTACTCGCTAATCAAACTAGTATTACTACACTGATTTAAGTAGTAATTATTTTCCTCATGTAAGCTTTTGACCTAGGAAGTGCAAAAACTGTTAATAAGTGTTCTTAAATTTAACATCTCAGCTTTTCTGCTGTCAGCAGAGCTGATCCCAATTATGCCTAAAGAGAAACTCAGGGGAAGGAAACACCTGAACTTGTCCCAGAACGTGGGTCCATCTGGTTACAGCTGATGTGCACCCTGATCAGATTTTTGAGTCTTCTATTGATAAAGGCAAAACAAGTCATTTAGAAGGCTAAGAAGGGTTAAAGAATGTGTTGAGCCCTAATGTTGATGCAACAGCAGTAAAAATGATTTGTGCAGAATGAGATCTAGTCTGAACTTGGTGCAGAAGCACTCTACATATTTTGCATTTTTAATGGAGATGACTAAATGCGGTGTTAATTTCTTATTTTTCCACCCTCCCCCTTCTTTCTGTCTTGGTTTGCCAAACATAGCAGCTCAATGGCATAATCATCAAAGCAAGTGCAGAATAAAAGTTTGCCTACCTTTCCCGTGTTTATAAAAACAAGGCAAACATTTCAGTATGATATACTGACACACTCCACATCTCAAAACACTGTTCAACTTCCTAAATCACTTCTTTGGAATATCCATATATAAACTCATCTGCCTTTCTGCACAGCATACAAATCATTTTGGTACAAATGTACAAATCAGGTCTTAGTCAGTCTAGAGGGCAGGTCTCTACATAAAACAGCTGCAGGGGCACGAACAGCTACAAAACATGCAGACAGACAAAAAGAATAACCATCACCACATGTGACAAATTCTGTGTACGCACTGGTGTGATTATGGAGTGTCTCTATCCTATCCAGTACAGTCACTCTAGATTTCCATCTGTGGAGCTGAGATAATGATTTGGACTGCTACAGATAATCTGGTTTAGGTTGGTTTTTTTTCTTCCTGGCTTCCCCTTCTATTAAGAAATAGGAAAAATGCAAAGAGGTAAAATAATGTTGATCTAGAAGTAGGCACCACACTCTAGCTGGTGTGTGCATGTGCTCTTGTGCATGTGTACAGATGAACTTGCAGGCAGATATTTGAGGCAAAATCAAATAGGAACTAACTGAAATTCTGGCTACGTGTTAGACAGCCCAGCTGTCTCTCTCCCCTTCAGTAATACAAAAGTTACTTCCCTTACAATCAGGCAGGACTGGACTTTCTAAGATGAGCACCCACCTATACTCAATTCTACCATGGTACTACAGAACGAGAGGGTCAGTGGGTGCTTCCCATTCTTGCCCGTGTGGGTAAGGATCTGACAATCCACAAACATCATCCTTCTGAGCCTCAGCCAGTGCAGCTCCAGCCGGGTCTGCAGATCCCGCTCCCTCCTTGCTGAGCCCCAGCAGCTCCATCCCAACCCACCAAGGAGTCTCCAGTTTGTGAAGCAACCTACCCTTTTTATTCCTTAGCCCCCAGCACACTGTAGACTTCAATCTTAATTAAGTTTATTTAAATGATGAGCAACTCCTGTGCCATTGCCAGGCCTGGCCTCACCATGCTCCATCAGCCCCTTGATTTAAAAGTGTTATTTAAAACCTCCATCAAAAACTTCCAGGTTTCCGCTTTTTCAGAGCTTGCCATGTACTGCACGTACCTGGTAACTTCACAGTTATTTGTTCCCTCCACACAAGCATTCGGAAGTCCCGGGGAAGAGGAAACCACAAATACTCCTTCTGGGGGAAATGAAATAATTACATTATTTGCATAACAAAGTGATATTAGCAAAATCTGTTCTGCATGTGAAGGCCAATCCTACACTTACGCTTATTAGTTGCTTGGCTTTCAGGCTTTCAGGAATTTACTTACAAAAGCAATCTCTGCTGCTGTGGCTCCTACATCCATCTCTCCTCACTGCCATCAGATGAAACCCCCTCTGCAGCTCCAGCCTCTGCCCCCTCTCGCCTCTCTCAGATGGGCTTCCCTGTATCCTGCTCCAGCAGGTCTCCTGCCACCAGGTGTTTGGCTCAGTAACACCAGCCCTGCTCCCAGCAGCACATCTCCAGCCCCACAAAGTCACCCCTACTCTTACTAGACCCACAATCTCTGGTTAAGGTGTGTCCCACCCCCCAGAAAACATCAATGCAAGGAAACCTTGTCTCTTCTCAAGGGGTTTGGTCTGGTGACATGACACTGTCAGCAGGATCCTCCACAGTCAGCTCTGAACGACTCACTTATCCAAAGCCACATCCCCTACATCCCTCATAGACACACATTCCCATGTACGAGACCGTGAAGTTCACAACCAGTGCAGGAGAACACCAAACAGCACGTCAGCCAGTACTGCATGCAATCGCACTACACCAATTGTAATGGCTTGGGGAACAAAGCGGCGCTTGCTCTTTGAATCTCCTTGCTCTTGGTCTTAAGAGATGTGCACAGAAACCAGCCTTTTGCTAGGTGAGAAACCTGTACCTTCTCTGTACAGCCATTACATATATATACATATATATATGCTTGCCTTTTTACTCTGGCTGCAGTGGGTGTTTGCTCAGGTGGCACCATCAGCTTCCTGCTGGAGGTGCCTTCCCAGCATAATTCCTTCTCTAGGGCCCAGAGATCACATGTTTCCCTCATCACAGAGAACTTCTGCTGTGGGATCTGTAATAACTCCGCTTGGAGTTCAGCTGAAATAAAACATGCCTCAAGCGAACAATAGCCAAATAACAAGAGTGATGTTTTTTCTCCTTGTAAAGAGTGTGTACTGCACACAGGGCTAATCTGCACGGCTTCAGTACATTCAGCACCTGTGTTTTTATTTTCTTTGCAGTGGGAATGGTGGCTTGGCCTGCACTGCTTGTCCCTGCCTGCCGTGCAGAGAATTGCCCAAAGGTTTTATTCATTTTTAATCTGATTTTTTTTTTCTGTATGCAGGGAGTTGAAGTTAACGGAGGATTTTCCCCTACAACTTCTTTCGCTGATGGCCAAAAGGAGAACATCTAATGACCAAGTTGTATGCTGCTTGGACATCTTCTTGCTCTTTACATGAGGCAGTGGTCAGCTACTGAGATGGTGCTGCTGTCCCCCTTTTTCCTTCTTTCAACTTTGAAGATGCAGCTCAATTGGCAAGGCTGCTGCTAGAATCCCAAACCCAGAGCTCATGAAGTGCTGCTGTGTTTCCTGAGCCGATACCTTACTCTACAGCTACCAAATTCAGAAGTGGGGCTTTTTTATTGCCATTGCTTGGGTTCCTCAGACCGCTGGCCTTCCACAAAACCACTTTTGGTCAGAGAACGTGAAGCTGATGATGCCTCTGCATAAAAATCACACTGAGCCCACCGGAATGTCATTTCACGTAATATGAAAAGTTTCTAACTACGTCAAAGCATCCTGCTGTGGCAGTTGAAGAACAAAAAACTTCAGATTTTGGTGTAAAATTACTTTTCTTTTCAAAGCATTGTATCTTGCACTAAATAACAACTCTTCTGTGATTCTGCTTGTGGCTCAGGATGGAGCTGTTCACCACCAATCTTGTGCTACTTTTCAGCTTCACATCAACACCAACACCACCACTTCCGAACATTGTTGCAAGACCAAAGATCCAGACTCCACATAAAAAGAATAAAACTATGATTTTGGCAGGGGAGGTAAAGAAATGTAAAAGAATCCAAAACATAACACAGGCTAGTAAAATCTAGACTGTAACTCCTGTACACAGTTTAGACATGCTTGGAAAAAAACACACAACCCCCTGAACTGGTATAAAAGGTAGCGTTGTGGGGATCCTTTGCAAGGATGCACTTTCCTATCAATGCCTAAAATCAGTTATCTTACGGCAGTGGGCAAACTCTCTACCAGCAGCCAGTAAATATCATGATCAGCACTTAGTTGCTTTTAGGCACTATCCTGTTTGTCTAAGAAAATTAACCTTTCCTTTAAAATGCAAGCCAGATTACAGGAGTGTTTGGGGACAGATTTTCACTTACAGCAGAGGCTGGAATTTCTTCCCATTAGGATTCGCAAAGGACTACAACATCTAACTCAGGAGCTTTCATTTATAACATTCTCAGGTCCTGGGTTTTGAATGTCAGAAGAGACAGAACACTGGGAGATTAGCTCATAGGCAAGGATGAGTGGGAAGCAATCAAATGAGGTTGCTGAGCAGCCAACGATTCTGAGAATTACTCTGTGAATACCATTCTTTCATTGCAGATACTACAGTTTACTTCTTGTTGCAAATGAGTTTTATCGCCGAAGCCAGAAATAGCATGAAATTACAATTCTGTAGGAGGTCAGCACCAACTGCAAAAAATGATGCTTCCTACATCATTACAGCTTTTCAGTTACCTATTTTTAGAGATACACCGTGCACTGGTGTTCTCGCTGACCTGAAAACACATAAAGCCCAGTTAGATCCAAATTTCATTCCATTTTCCACAGGATTCTCCTAGACTTCCTGCTCTTCTTTCAATTCAAGAGCATTCATTAATAAGATGAAAACAATTTATGGAAATAAATTTCTAAGTTGAAAATTTACTTCTATTAAGTTCTACTTCATGTTATTTATTTATTATGATTTTAAGAGAACGTTCTCTAAGCTGCAGGGACCAACTTTCCAACTTAGGATTTTTTAACATTACTTGAAAATCCAATTAGATTGAGAAAGAAAAATGACAATTCATTTATTGAGAGCAATGAAAAATATAATTCATACCCTTCCCACCTACTGATCCTTCTACCACTCTTCATAATGAGGATTTCTCCCTCACCAGTGCTTGACAGGCAAAACCTAATATTTTCAAAATGGGCTCAGGAGTTCTGATTTTTTTTTTCTTTAAGAAAATACATCCCAAATGCTGAGCTGTACTATAAAGGCAATTTTGCTTTAAAGCTACAAAAATATTTGTAACTCAATATCTAGCCCTTTCTTGATATGCCTCAAGACACAGGGGCAATAAAGCGAAGCTGAGTCAATGACAGAAGCCTGGTTTTCAGGTGACATGCAAGGAATGATCAAAATCTTTATGTTTGGTAGAGCTAAATGAGGGAAACACCTAGAAGCACCAAGGTCAGAAGGCTGCCCTAACAGTGCAAGGTCTTCTCTCTGGAGACGTAGTTTCCAACACACGCCCCTCTGCAAAATCAGAGTTCCTGCAGTCCTGAGCTTTTCTCCCTTCCATTAATTGCCCTGGGAAGAGGCGCCATTTGCCTTTGCCTGTTTGCTCTCCAAGCAGGCTTTTACCTCAGAATTTCCACCTGCTTTGCGGGTGGAAGGACCCACAGCAGGTCGGATCTCCTGCCGGCCCACATCTGCTGGGTCTACAGCAGGGGGCTCTGCCGGCCCGACCACGGAGGAGGCCATGGAGGCTCGGCAGAGGAAGGAGAGGAGGCCCAAAACCTTCCCCGGCCTTGCCATGTGTTGGGCACTTCTCTCCACCCTGGCTGCAGATCAGGGACCAGCAAACTAACCTTCAGTTCGCTGCAAAAACTTCAGGGTGCTCTGGGATGAAGTGCTCTATGTAAAAGCAAGATGTTACAGTAAAAGATTTTACGATATTTTGGAAATGGCAGAACTTCATAACATTGAAAGTTTTATGGGAATGAAAACAAGGCTTCTAAGTCTCTCCCAAATTACTGCAGCTTTGAAGTACCAACTTTCACTTTGTAATTGTTGGAACACTCCTTCTCCTTGCAGTAAAAGGATTTTTAATGCGCCAACTGCTAAGACCGAGGCTCTCGGCCTTTTCCAAAGGGAACACGCTTGTGATGAGGCCGACAGATAAACCTCACCCTATGGTAAGCCCAGCAGCGCTGCTACCATCTTTTTTCTTGTCTGAGTTGCCTCACTTGTCCTTTTCACAAATACACAGTATGGAGGCCAGGAAAGATCCTTAAAATCATCCAGTCCCTTAAAGACCAAGGTTCAGGGAATTTTACCCAGGCACTTTCTGCCTTTGTTTCCTCTGCCTTCAACTCCACATCCTTTTCCTTTTCTATGTAATTATTGTTTTTGTTTCCTGCTAGTTCTTCTGCTGTTTAACTTTGTGCTGTTTCCCAGTTCTCTAGTAAGCAGACAGCGACGTTGGTGGTTATACCAGCTGGGTCATGTAAGTACGGGCAACTTCCCCAGGTGCCCTGGGAATGGAAGAGAGTCCCTTGGGCCATCGCGTTGCTGCCTGAATTTCTGGCAAGTTGCTACTGGAACAGCAGCAAGAGCAGGAATGGATGAAAAGTGGCCTTCGAAGAACCACTAATGTAATCAAAAATGCTGCAGATTTCTTTACATTTACTGGTCTATTTGGTAAAACTTCTCTCTGCTACCTTGGTCCATATTACATGTGTTAGCTGCTCAAGAGAGGTCCAGGACTACCTGAAAAATTCTCCCAGGAGAAATTTAAAACATCCCATTACTGGGGAACTATGGGACAGTAGTTTCTTTCCTTTACTCCAGGAAAGAATGCAGCACCTCTGTCCCAGCTGCCCTGCTACATTAGAAGCAGTGGGAAAAGTTGAGTGCAAACTTTGTCTTCCCTTTAGGTGCTTTTGCAATTCACATACCCCATGGACTTCACAAACAAGGGGCCCAGATACATGGACTCTACAGCTAGTATTGGGTCTTCCTTTGACTTCCCTCAAGGAACAAGGCTCAAAACAACTCTAAATCAGTATAAAAATCCCCCTTTCTGGCCCTGAACACAAGGTAAAGGTCTTTCAACTGTTTATTTTTCTTCCAGATGACTTTAAAATGGCTGAACCAATCACTGGGAGAAGAGCCACACAGATGGGACTTAGGTCCCTCTTCTGACGATGTGGTCATAGATAACAACGTGGAGATAGAGATCTGTTTCAACAGGTGTCCGCGTTGTGCTGTCTCCTGGGTGGGCCTGAAACAGAGAATATTATAGACACTCAGAAGAGAGAAAAGACATGGATTTTAATGTAATGAATTATCTTCTTCTTCCCTCGGAACATAAAGTTTGATAAATAAAAGTAGCTCTGAGGGTGAGGATCTCTCAGTGAAGATTAATGTTCTGGGACTGAGCAGTTTGTTTCTCCTGCAATGCTTTTAGCAGATGCAAAGACAGTGACAGAGCCCTTTAAGCTAACTACAACTAGGAACGAGTGGACCTTCGACCGGTCAAAGAAAAGGCCTGCTTGTGAAGACCAGGCAGCTGGTACTAAGTCTGTTCAAGCTGAACCCCACCAGAAAGAACTCATGCTGATTTCAGTCTGGCCTACAGCAAGCACTTCTCAAAAGCTGTTCTCCGTCAGTGAGTGTTACAGAGACACCAAAGCCTGACAGACCCATGGTGACCACAGGCCTGTGCCCTGCAACCTGTAGGGGGACACAATGTACACGCACAAATGCTTCGTAGTGTGACCCTTGGCACGCAAGGATCTTTCACATAGACACTGAAGAGCTGGTTATTTGTTACAGATGTTCTGCAGCTGCAGGAAGTTGGATTGGTGGCCCACTTTCAATGCAACCAAACACATTTTTAGGGATGCATTTTTGAATTTCTAACAAACCAATGCACTTATTTTGAAATGCATATAATTTGATATTTTGTACTGTTACTATTCATACGCGACCATCTTTCATGGGAAGCACATCAAAGAAACCATCATCCTAGATCAGTTCTGTAGAAACCCAAACAAATTATTGCCCAGCTCAGTTCATGTTGGTTTGGAGAGTAACTAAAACCTGGGTGTGTTTGTCACATCCAATCTATAGTCCAGGGACTTCAGCTGTAAAGTTAAAAAAAGTGTGGTTGGCACCAGAGGAACATAGTTGGCTTCTTACAGAGGGAAGCTGTCTATAATATTATAACCCATTCAGCTCTCAACATGGAAGATAAAATACCCATGGCAATTTAATCAGTCCGGGTACTATTCAAGCATTTGCTTTGTTTGGATTCAGCTGCTATGTAAATAAATGGTAGAGACCAATCAACTTCAGCAATAATAGGATCAGAGCCATTTTTAGGTGAAAACAAAGCATATGTTTCTGCTGTCAATCATATGTAAGAGACATAGAGGCCACAACGTTCATCCAGTTTCTAGCACTACTGAGGCACAAGTATTTTCCGCTCTTCTATTCAGTTGCAAATCCTCTGAACCATTTACTATGTGCTGGAGAAATACAGCTCTCCACAAGAATATGTGCCAAATTTCTCTTTTGTGAGGGATAGGGTTTAAAATCCAAGTTTGACCCTTATGCCAGTGACAGTCTCAATCTGCTACAAGAACTAAATGACCTTAAGGGGTCTGTTTTCCTTAGGGATTCTCAAAACTCTTGCATTAAGGAGGAAGAATTCTGCCAGTTTCAGTTCACCACTGCAGAAGTGCCAGGGCAGAAGACAGCCCACTCCTCAGATGCAGGAACTGATTCTGCTTTCTGGATTCGCTGGTGTTCAGCAGGCCCTGCCAGCATCGGGGTATTGCAGTTCTCACAAGTTGCAGCTTTGTTTCAAAGTAGCCTAACGTTTATCTATTTTTATCCAACATTTAATTATTTTTATCCACCTGCAGGCCTGTTTCATAACAGAGATTTGATTGCTAAGAGGAGGGACCACCAGCCCATTTTTCACCAACATTTTAGCAATTTTTCCTTACACAGCATGTAAGAGAAACTCTGCCTAGGAAACCTTTCAGTTTTATGAGTCAGTTCAACTTCTCATTTTTGTCATCTTAAGGGCAAGGCCAAGACAGGCTTGGTCATAAACAAGGTGGGCTAAGTTTATTATGACAGGGACCAGAGAAGCTGTTTTAACAAGGGGAATAGCGTGTCTAAGCCTGAAATATTAGATGTGCATTGATAAACACACTGTTTGAAATTGGACTCAACAGTTAGCAGCCAAACTCCATTGCATAAAGGCAATTTAGAATATTGGGGGGAAAAAAAGGAAGACATTTACCTTGGGATCCACATTTATTATTTTCCTATCGCTTTTGTTCTTGAAGAGTAGTCCACAGGCATTTTCTGCAATCACTTGGTAATTTGGGCTGGAATGTGAAGTGCTGACATTTCTATCCCAGTTGTAAAAGCTGTGAAAATGTGAAACAGAAATGCTGTACTTTTAATGGATGTCATTCTTCCAGCTTAAAGGGCAGATTCTGATCTCCTTATTCATGCTGAGTAGTTCCCATTTCCACAATAGACCCGCTGAAAGCCAGACAGATGCACTGAGGAGCAGGTCTACTAAGTGTCAGAAAACCTGCCCAGATATGGCCCTACCTCTCTGATCCCTGGCAAACCAGAACGGAGGCCCCAAGCTGCCTCCTCATCCACTCACTGCTAGTGCTACGGAAAGACTCGGAGACCGGGTTGTAACTGGTGGGAAGTAGCTGTGCTTGAGAACTACTACTGTGACGGAAACAGCTCTGGAGACCACCTGAAAGTGATTCCTGGACCACCACAGATCTGCAAACCAGATGGGAACTGATGTTTTCCCCTTAGGATTGCACTGGAACCCTCTTGCTGCCTCACTGTTTTCCTTTCTCTTGTTTTTAATATAATTCTGGTAGTAAGGAGTTTTTGGAAATCTCCTTGTGGGCCAGACACGGCAGGAGGGGCTGAACTCCATCTCCCCACAGAAAATGCCACTTCCCCAGAGCTACAAGTGTCAGCCTGGAGTTGATTCTGAGCAAACCCTTCCATCAGGTGGATGGTGCTAGCTCATTTCCACAATGCCTGGCACTGAACAGAACTCAAAAGGAATTGGCTGGCTATGTCAAATACAAAATGGGCAAGGGAGGTTCCAGCAGTTTATCAGTCTTTCTCCCCAGGGTCAGAGGCGCTGGAATTCCCCGAGACTTCACACACTTTTGGTTTTTGACTTCTCAAACTTCTTATCACCTGAGCTCAGCCCTTCTGGGCTTTGTACTTGACACACCGCCAACGACCAGGTGGTCATTTGCATGCTCACTGTTAGTATTTGTTTAGAATACAATGTCACAATGTGATGGTGCTGCTACGTGAGCCTTGCTGGGATGCTCATTTGATCACTGAAGTGGCACGTTGAATTTCTGTGGCTGAACAGATGAGTGTATCTTTTAGCAAAAGGCAGAGGAGATGGGAGGAAGTCAGGAAATCATTCTGTGTGTATGGAGGATTCAAGAAATTTACAAAATACCTTTTAATTTTCCTACCTTCTGCAAAGATACTCTATTCCAACTAGATACATTGTTCTGTTCTTTAAAGTGCCTTGATTTCTTCCTCACTTGGACGGCGTGCAAAGCAACAGGCCTCGCTCTGTGTACACTAAAGCTTTTTCCATCCTGAACACCTCTGGTAGGAATAGAGCAATCTATAATGACATGGAGATGAATTTACAATGCCCTTAACAGAATCACCATAAGGTATCACTGAAATCAGCAGGTGATTTGCCACTGAAGTCGACAGCCTTGGATTACAGCCAGATAATGGGAAATGGTGTGCTCAGCACAAAGTTACAGAATCGTCATGGTTGGAAAGGACCTCTGAGATCACTGAGTCCTTGAGCAAGTGAATTAGAAGAGTAGAAGCTGCCGTCTGGAACTCTGCGCAGCCCAAAGCTTAGATAACTGCAGAAAATGAGTGATATGTTAATTGGTCACATTAATTTGTCATCTGTATTATTTAATGCTCTGGAGTACTCACATTAAGTGGTAAACTGAAGATTATTTCATTCACTGTTTAAATCTAGGAATAAGAATGTGTACAGATGATCTTTAAGGTCCCTTCCAATCTAGACGATTCTATGATTATATGAAATGTCAAAGTTCAGTGTCCATTTTTTCTATTATTATTTTGTTTGATTAGCATGTGTTGTGGAAGAAAGGTAGCATTTTTCACCACAGTACTTAAGTGTATGGAGTACGGGAGACTTAGGAGTGCTCATAGTCCAGATGTAAGAAGAATGCATCTTGGGGGGTGTTTATTTTTTTTTTTTAAGACCTTGACTACTTGGTGCACTTGTCTATAACGAGAAGCACACTTTGTTTGGAAATACAGACTAAAATATGTGAGGTGTTTTTTTTTTTTCATTCATCAGCTAATTCTGGTCTGAGCAGATTTTCATTCTGCAGGCTGGCAGATGCCCTCCCAGAACACATGAGCCTGAATACAGGTTTTTGTATCCTTACAGTTATCCTTTGGGTACCAAGATGGCAGCACATCAAACCACATGGTGCTTATAGAATGTCTTTCATCACAAAATCTCTGGGTCCTTTTGTAAACATGCATTAAACCACTTGACAATCTTGTGAGATGTAAGGCAGGTTTTATTACAGCTCATCAGTGGATGGGGGAGCCAGGGCACAAAAAAATGTTGGCTATTTTTCCCTAGGATATGTGGGCCAATGGCAGAGCAGCCAAGAGTCCCAATTGCCAGCCCCAGGAGATGGGGTGCTCTGGTTGGAGCCCTGTGGCTGTTCAGTCAGAGAGCTGGACAACCCTTTTCCTGAAGGCAAATCCTTGGCAAGGTTACAAACAGGATTTTGATGCGTCAGTGTGTGATCGTCTCCTTTATTCCCTTATTCTGTGGTGGGAAAGGAGCTGTGATGGAAGAACTTCTTACACAGCTTATTCCAGGGGTTGGGATGCCACGGTAGAGCGGAGAGAACTTCAGGCACCAAGCAAACCAAGGGTTGCCAATCACCCTCTGACCAAACGTACAGGAGGTGTGCATACGCAGGGCAAGAGCTTTGTTGTCCCAACTTACTATTTAATATTTAAATCAGCAAAATCAGGGAGACAGAACATAGTGTAAAGGTGTTTATGTCTGTGTTGGCCCCACCTTTGATCCCATGGGGTTAGATTATACTACCCTATTCTTTCTTCCCCTCAGGATAAGGATTGGTTCCTTGATTCAGTTCTCTACTTTTCTCTTCCCACCCACGCATACACAAAGATAAAACCATTCCCTATAGCAAACTGGGACTTCAGTCAAAAACTAATTATAAACAATGATGGCTCAACAGCTTTTTTCAGTTTGTGGTTCTATGAATTTGCGATGCAAACTATCTGGCTTCAGACCCCCTCCCGGTAATTTACAGACCAGCTTGCTTTAGTTGGGCAGCAGCAGAAGGGTGCAGACAAGGGAGATAGAGGGATGCAGGACAACAAAGGAGACTGGAACCAGGAATAAAAAGAAGCTGCAACTCCTTTATCCTGGCGTTCTCATCCTTTCTGCCCTCTGGTAGGAGTGCACCAGTAATCACTCTAATGGGGAGAAACTGGCATTCTTCATACGCTTGCCAAATATGACAAAGTACCAACATAGTTGGATGGGATTCGGCCCGCCAGTCCTTCCACAGCTTTCTGGTGCAAACGAGGTCAGTGCCTCGATGGGACACGACACCATGTAATACAGCACATATGCCTGAGTCGATGCCAACTGCTATTTCATAATAAAATGCACATAACAGACCTCTGTTAAACATGAACAAGCTACTTTTTCCACCTAAGAAATTTAAAGATGCTGAGTTTTGCTTTTCTTTTTCATCTTGAAGCAGCTTTGACTGAAATAATTATGTTTATCAAATGATTGCCTGTGTAGGGTGAGATATGTCACAGTACTTTGGAAAACCAAGGCAGTTTGATTTGTTCACAGCTACAGTGCACAGCAGCTATTTTGGTGATTTTTTCCTGCTTACTGAATTAAAACCCTGTAGCATTTATCTACACTCACATGGCTGGTTATCTCGCAAACTAATTGTAAATCAGGAGTAACTCCAATGAACTCTGGTACAGAATGGGTAGAAATGAGCACCTGGGCCACAGAAACCCATTCATCCCTGGTTTCTTAGAGGTGTGGAAAATTTGAGCTGCTCCCTCTTGCTCAAACCTGGCCAGCGCCAGCACCTTCTCCCTGCAGCTCCCCAGTGCAGCCCATCCTTCCCATCTCCCCACAAGCAACAGCAGGAACCCTGGAATTTGGCTCAGCCGAGAGCAGTGGCAGAGCTGCCACTGGTCTCAGGAGGGCTGATGCTCACCCAGCATGTTCAACAGGCAGAGGACAAGAACTAACACATCACTGCTAGTCATTGGGGCTACAACTTCTCCATGGCAATGAAGCTAATGAATAGCAAGAGTTTGAAAATGTCTCCCTGTGCCGCTGACTCCCCTCTTTTGGTATGGCTTTAAAAAACAAGTAATTTTTTTCCTTTTCCCTTCCTTCACTCAGCAATAAGACCTCCAAAAGGAGCACATCCATGCCAATTCCCATTCACATGTGATTCCATAGGGTGATGAACTCAACACTCCACGGGAGGGCTGAGATCCTGCTCCAACAGCACAAAAGTAGCACTGTGAGGAAGCATAGAGAGCCAAGCCCTCTGCACAGGAGACCCTGCCATGAAGCCTGACAATGAATGCTACACACAGTGATGGCAGGGAAGCGTCCATGGGGCACGGAGAGTGGCTTTCATTTAACGTCATCAGAGTGCTGGAGTGACTCTGAGATCAAAGGGCTTGCAGAGCTCCTTTTGGCACTGTAAGCCTTTGATCTTACCCTCTCCTTCTGATAACCCCCCAAGACACATGGTTGCTCCACCTCCCGCCTGGGATCTGCCTCTGAGATTGCCCATTTTTCCCCGACATGAAGGAGGAAAAGGGAGTGTGATATGCAAAAATGATGAGCACCTGCAGCTTCCATTAACCTGATGTGAAACTCTATGCCTGCTCAGCAAGCCTCTAAGTCTGCTCTCATGAGTTTGTGGGCATACCATGAAGGGCAACGCACTGAAAAGAGGTAAAGTTAAATGCAAGCTACACTGCACCAAGCTCCACTGAACTACAAATCCACACTGCCTAGGAAATGTGCATCTAGACTGGACAAGAACATAACACAAATCACAATTCTATGATGTAGGCCAGAAGTACCTCAGGGATGCCGGATGTCTGAAGCTTTCCTACTGTACGCAGCTCTTACTGATGCATTAACTAAATGGTGCCTTTTGAGCTTGTCACGGCCTCGCAGTCAGAACAGCAGCAACACAAAGAGGGCTTGGAAAGGAATTCTGTTACACAAGAGAGTTGGAATTCCCACAACCAAAAGATGCTA